CTGAGAATTCCTTGAGCCGGCTTTTAAATGATCAACCATCCATCTGTGAAAAGATCCACTGGGAATTCTCCAACCAGTAAGAACCTGGACGGAGAAGTCTCCCCCACTCCTGCATGTGTTCTGATGCAGCTGAACGCTGGCCACCCTTGGGAGGACCTCACAGACCCAGCGCTGCTTCTTCCCCGCTGACGGGACACGCTCTCACACAACAGTGCAGCCACGCATTCAGTCTCTCTGCAAGCCCACTACGTGTGTCCCACTCGCCTGTGCGGGGGTGTGGGGTGAGGGGGGCCGGGGGCCTTACTTGGAGCAGTCTTCATGCACAATGTTCCCGGAGGTCTCCTTGATGGGGCGCTCCGAGACAAACGTGGGGTACTCCATGTCACAAGGTTCCAGGGTGTGCTTCAAGTTCTGGGCTGCAGGGATATGCGGGTGGGGGGAGAAAGGGATCAAGAACTCAGCATGTGCACTCCTGATTGTGAGCCCCGCCCAGAGCAGCTGAGAATGGAGTTTGGCTCCCAGGCTCTGGGTTTGGTTCTAAGCCCCACCTGGATCCCATGGAATTTTCTAACTGGCAGTTGCAGACGTCTGCCGGCCTGACTCACCTACAAGCTGTGCTTAGAACCACCCACAAGTCATTTCTATTAAAAATCTGAGGTGCCCACAGTGCTTCGTAACCGGAAACAGGTGTTGTGTGACTTTTCTGCAGGCATCACCACATTTCATGATTATTGTTACTGTAGTATTTGGCCAAAGGTGTCTCAGCATGTCTTTCTTTAGTGTTTTCTATGCATAGAAAGGTACATTGCAGATCATGATAGACACTTGACTGCTGTTAGATATGAACCGTTCCTAAATGCTCTGCCTTTGGATCTAAAAACAGATTTAGGAAAATAAAACTCATTTGTAATCTGGGGAAGGCCTGCAGTCAGTCAAGTCATTTTGCCTGCCAAGCTACGTGATGACCTATAATTCCTCACAGTTGTCTAGGCATTATCAACTATCATTGATGCATCAGAAGAATTCTACTTTCTGGGACAACATCAGTCACCAGGGCTCTGACCTCAGCCCCGCTAGAGCTTAGCCACAATGCAGATGTATATCTGAATAAATATGT